ACCACCATCCGTAGTAATCGTTACCAATATGGAGCCTATGAAGTTGGAGATTTGCTAGACGCCAAGGAAAATACGAGATTTTTGAAATGCGTAAATGTTTTAATTTTTACGAAGATCAGATAGTTTGCCTTCAATTAATGTGGCATTAGTGGAAGAATACATCTCGAACTATGACCCACAGGATGGATCGATTGTAGTACAAGGGCGCGTTATCGGTATTGATGAGAAGATTCTCAAAAAAATAATATTTCTTCCAATTGGAGAGATTGCGATGGGTGCTGAGGAGTCCAATGACTTTCGACTGTGAAGTTATTTCAAAGGTGGCATGTTATCATTGGAGAAGAACCAAGGTTGGCGGACAGCTGAGGCAATTACGCCAGAGCTCATGGAATGGTTGTGCTTCGTGTTGAGGCATCTAGGGTTGTATCGACACAACACATATATGTCAAGATAATTAATGTTTGCAGTAGTAGGGATGTTTGAAGGGATGGTGTTCAATTGGGCAGCTTATATAGCAACCCGTATTCATGTGGAAATAGGAGCCAAGCGCAAAATAGGGAAGTTTACAGTGTTGCTATGTTCCAATTATGTATATGTTGTCATCGCATACACATTGCAGCAAACATCGCCAGTAGAGGAAAGTTCTGAACTAGTGTCAGTGCCTCCGTAGCGAGAACGAAATTCGTTGGCACAGAATGTCAATACAACAGAGGTAATACATGAAATTGGGGAATCCAGTCATCTAGTGGCACTGGAAACGGATTCGATTCATTCGGTGGTGGAGGAAGAGAATGAAGTCTCGACGTTGTTAGATATCAATCAGTTAGCGTTTCTACAAGGCCGGCTACCGGAAGGTGTACATCTTAAAAATGCTCTATTGAAGTACATTTCGCAAATACATTGCATGATACAAGCATTGAATGTAGAGGGCAGTAGTAAACAGGAATTAGATGCAAGCAAAAAGATGATATCAGAGCAGACCTGAAGAATTGAAGAGCAAGAACGGATCATCCAAACGAATGCGGAATCCAAGCTGCTATTGGGGCAAAAAATTGGGGAACAACAAGAAACTTGGGACAAAGCAAGAGAACGCATGGTGGAGACCCACAAGCAAGAACTATTTTGGGCTTGCAGTAATTCAATTTTGGAACTGGAAAAAGTGAAGGGTCAGTTGGTAATGGAACGAGAAAAGGCCGAGTTATTGGCGCAAGAGAAATTGGTATTGAGTGACCAATACAGATGTAAAATGGAGCAATTAAGGGTTGAAATTGAGGCCTTGAACGCCAAGGTGAAAAGATTGGTAGAGAATTTAGTCAATATTCGTCAAGCACAAGTATCGACGTTGCCAGTTCTTGAAGTTCCAGAAGACAGGAGTCACTTTCAGCGCCAGTTGAAATTGAGAGATGCCCAGATCCTAAAATTGGAAGCTCAAGTCCGTGAACTGGGCGAGTACAATGAAGACCTTTCAGCTTAGTTGAGGCAAGAGCCAATAGAAGGATTGGAGGAGGACGAAGATTTGCAGTTGGCACCGGAATTGGTGGAACCAATAACAGATACTATGGCAATTGATTAATTAGATAGGCCAGAGGGATCACAATTTTTGTAGAGTTTTGTTAGATAATTTTTAGATAGGTATCAATTGAGTGTTTGCGATGACGTTGCACAGATAGGAGTGGGGCTATGTAGAATAGATATTAATTCGTTTTTGAAAGATATTGGTAAAATATATTAATAGTCCATATAATAGGAAATTCAGGAGGATGGATGAATGATTTAGTTATTAAAAGTGGTTAATTACAGAATTACGGTTAGAATCTAAAGAATCAAGGAAAAGTATATAGGAGTTGTAGAAGTTAATTAAGGTGCCATCGCTGTGATAGTGTGAGCCGGGGTAAGCTTGGCGCTATCTCTTTTCTTTTGTTTGTTATTTTCTTTGAATAAGAGGATTGAGAGTTTCTGAATATTGTGAAGTGAATTATAGAATGGAAATGTGATTGGTATTATTTGAGAAGAAGAAAGATTGAATGCTGAAATCTTATTGTAGTTCACCAAAGAGAATGAGTCTGTGTTTGTGTGAAACACTGTAATGTGAATGGCAATTTTGTGTGAAGAATTCCAGTGATTGGAATGAATGTAATTGTGTGCTGAAAGCTGTGAGGGTGCAGTATTACAGTTGGAGATTGTGAAGGTGAATATATTGGTGGAAATAGTAGTTATTGGTATGACTGAATTGTTATAAGGAAGAGACCGATAAGGTGAAGGAGGAGATTATAGTTTCCTTATGTGTTCAGATATTGGAAATAAAGACGATACATTCAGGAGGTAATTGATTGTGTGACCCTAACGTGAACGCTTAAGCAACTAGTCATTCTCCGTGTTCGAACCCCCCTATACGGATTTATTTTGGGAGGTTTCTTCCAGAATAAGTAAAACGAGCAATCACAGTCGAATTTGTTGTCAGCAAACACTTTGTATAGTATTCTCTTATTATTTGTTTTTGTTGGGCTAACATTCATAAAGAAGGTCTTTGTGTAGAGAGCCTCTATTCATAAGAATAATGGAATGTTGCCTCCTAATAGCATAGTTTTTAGTTTATTCAATACTAATTAGTTTTTTTTCTTTGACACTCCATTTTGTTGGAGTGTGCGAGCTACACTTAGCTCCTTTATAACACCATGGGTGTCCAGATAAGCTATAAATTTTGTAAAGATGAATTTATTACCTCTAATAGATCTTAAGTAGAAAATTTGATGGAATATATGTTTTTTTGTCATAATATAAAATGTATTAAACATGTCTTGAGATTAATCCTTAGTTTTCATAAAATATATCCACAAGTATCTACTAAAATTATTAGTAAAAAGTATAAAATATCTAAAGTGTCCTAAAGATTCAATAGGAAGAGTCCACATACGTCAATGTGAATGAGAGTTAAAAGTTTGATTGCTTGTGTTAGTAAAATATTGGAAAACTTGAAACCAATTTGTTTTTCTTGATGACAAGTAGAACAATTATGATGTTTTACAAAAAAAGAGGATATGCTTGTAACTAGCTTTTAAAAATTCATGAATGATAGACTTCTAAAATTTATATATCCTAATCTTTGTATTATAGTTATGATAAGTTTGTTATATTATTACTCAAGCTATTTAATTCTAGTGTTTTATTTTGTGGATGATTAGGTGTATTAAATAAGGTGAAATTTTAGTCAAGATATTTTAACTTATAGAGTCCATTGGCTTATTTACATGAGCCTTTGGCTACTTTTCTATGTGACTTTTGAATAGATATGATACTATATTTTGTAGGACTAAAGATGGCAAAGATTTCTTAAGTCAATGGTTTAACCAATTGACAGTATGTTTCTATACAGACCAAGAATGTGGCAAACATCTTTTAGGGATTTTATTTCTCCATTAGATAAGAATAAGTCAATTGATCATTATATGGTTGTTACATGGGAATGGCCTCCTATAGATGTTATTGTAGTGCTATTCAATTGATCTATTTCATTGAACACTAAATAATTTTCTAAAAAATGTCTAGAAGCTTTTAAGTCAAGAATCCATGGCTCTTGTAACGTGGAGATAGTTTTTTCAAACTGGATCTGTAAGACAATCTTATCAAAGCGCCGAGGCAGTCGATTTAGTATTTGGTGTGTTGTGACCTCATGAGACTTTCCCTGTTTGATAGCCTTAAGATTGTACAATATCTCGTTTACTTGTTGCATAAATGAAGCGATATCTTGCTGGTCACTCATACGAAGATTTTTCCAACGGTAAAGGACGACCATGATATTGGAGATTGTATTAGTCTAGATCATTGTGCTTAGAAATTTCCACGCTTCTCTGGGATCAGTGATTTTGATGATATTATGGGGGGATTCGAGGATGAGAGAAAGTTGAAGCATCGCCTTTGTGTGTCTCTTCCGTTGATGAGTAGTGTCGGTGTCAACATTGATTTGATCCATGATTTCCTGTCTTGGCTAAAGAATTGGTCGGTGACAGATTGGTCGATAGCGGTTCGACCACATCCTAGAGATCTTCCTTTTTAAGAATGCTTTGCATAATTATTGATCAGTGTTTGTAGTTGTGTGAGCCTGTCAACATTGTGTCCTTCGAGCAGATGCTCTCGAGATTACTCATTGTGCCCTGTAGAGATGTACTAGAAATCTGAAAAAGAAAAAGTGGTCTTGATTTGAGGATGAGGTGCATTAGAATCTCCAATACTCTGGTTAGAAACAAAGACAACTTAGAGAAGAAAACACGCAATAAAAAAACAAATGGTGAGCTTCCCGCTCTGATACCATGAGAGAAAATAACAAAACATAACATATAAAAAGGAGGGTACAAACTTACACACAGGAACAGTGATGTTCGCAGGTATAAATACAACCGATGTAAGGTTCAGGGTCGAGTATGTAGTCTGAATTCTAGGATCTCCAATTGCCTGCTACGCATATCATCTACGTGGATGATGAGCTAGCAATGGATGTTCTAACATTAAGGTCTTGATACAAATTCAGTCAAATTCATGTTTTCATAAATTTATTGGTGATTGCATCCAAAATGTACATCATGTGTGTATGAATGTATCTAAAAGAATATTAAGTTTGGTTAATTTACATTTAATTAGAATGAGAATAATTATTCATGCTTTCATTGAGTACAAAATTTAAAAGGATTATGAGGTAAATAAATGTTTTATGTGACATTCACTTCAATGTCCAAGAAGTTTACTTTTCAACCTAAAACATAACATGAAATTTTGCCACACAACCTGTATCTTTTACAGGTTAAGTTTGAGTACTTCCTTTGCACCTACTTCTGAAGCTCATTTTAACCCTCTGGTTTTAAAATTCTTTACTTTTGTGTAATTTGTGGATCTGGTCAGTTGTCGGCGTGACCCGAAATACCCAACCTTCGTGGTTGATCACATTCTTGCGGAAATCTCAAGAACAAGACAATCTCTGCATAAACCACTTCAAACTTCAAACGCTGTTGGGCTCAAATCAAAGAAAGCAGAAATTAAAACTGCAATTGTGCAGAATATGGTACACTGAAAAAGACAAAAGCCTCTACATCAACCTAAGAATCCTTAATTTAAACTGAAGTGTTCATTCTCTGTCGAAATGCATTTGGTAGCACTCTCAAACAAATATTATCTCATCAATGTCTTCTCGCTTTCGTGCCAATTCAGACACGTTTTTTAAAAAGACACATTTGAACCATGTATCCATGGTTTTCAGAAACAGGTACACTCTTTCAGCTGGAAATGTGGGTTCTCTTTCAGTAAGGGCCAGTAGAAGACCGAGTTGCTGGAGATGTCCCGCACAGGAAAATCATTGGGGCTCATCCAAGATCTCAGATCCATCTATGTTCCGCAGACGAGGAGATCCATTATTAACAGGAGACGACCTTCTGCGATCCAATTGCCGCCTATCTCCACGCTCTCCTTCAGTCTCGTCTGCACCGCCTTCACCAGGGCTAGGAGGGGAGCCCCACTGATCCACGGAACTATCAGGTAGTTTAAACTCTGGCTCCTGCACAAGGAACCAAAGAGCATTAGGTGGAAGAATAGAAATGATAATGCATGAGATAATCATGTATTGGAGAATTCGAGCCTTATCAATTTACAGCCTCGATTTTTTTAAAAGATGTAAAACATATAATGAAAGCCAAGTTGAAAGCTAGGCAATCCAAATCTGCAATGATACCTGAACTGATAGTAGGAGATAGATTTGAGATCACATGCGGAGGTTACAATTTACCACGAATGAATACCAACTGGAGACCCTTACCTTGCTTGCAGCTTCCATCATCTTCTTCCGAAGTGCTTCGTGCTCAGCTTTCAGCCGAGAAGGGACGCCCCTAACTTGCATTACGTTCTGCTGGGCCAAATCTTCATCGATATAGTTTGCAGTTGTTGCAAACGGGTGATTAGCTGGTATCCAACGGACTTCCTCAGGATCCACTCCTTCAGGAACAGGCTCGCCTTCACTCAAAAAAACAACGGGGCGCTTCCACCTGTAAGCTTGGACACGCCTGTTCTGGTGACTCAATCTTTTCTCATCAGTAAGTGTTGTGGGAGCTACCCTGAAGAGCCTACCGTACATTTTCACAACTGAATTCTCCTTTCCTCCCTTTCCACCAACAAAAGGGTTATTAAAGGGGTCCTCGTATTTCAGCGATTTTCCACTGCACCCAATCATAAACGAAATACAATCATAAGTACAATGCTGATCGTGCAGTTACCAAAGCAGTAGCTTGAAAAAGGAGGAATTAATTGACTAACTACTGCACACAAGCTTTGATCAAACTCTGCATGGTACTTTAAATAGAACAGCTTATACACGTCAACTTAAGCACAAGATTAAGACATACTCTCCCCTGTCAGATCTTAGTTGACCCCTCTTGATGAGATCTGAGACAGAGCCTCCACCATCGTCGTTCCGGGGCTTGGCCACAAACCCAAGAACTGTCATCATAATAACTGCTGCAGTGACACCTACACCAGCTGCTAGATTCATTGGGACGCCCCTCATGATCTGTAAACGACGATAAATATTATTCAATGCATTGCTATAGCAGATAGTAATTACAGAATTCGGAGGAGCAGAAATACTTGCAATGTAAAGATGTACAGCAGGGACTACACAGTTAAGACCCGAGATACACTCAAATTGTAGAATGATGCACTCCGTGTGTCACATGGCTTCCAAGAAGCACTTCGATAGGTTTCAAATGCAACAATGTGAGGCCTCAAGGTCAGACGTTTTTGACCTTCTTAAGATATGAAACAATAGCAAAGTAATCAGAAATCAGCAACCTGATAAGGCACCTTTCCCTTTTGCCGCTAACTTACAGATGATTAAATTGTTCCACAGACTTGAAAACCCTACAAGGGAAATATCAAAGATTGGAGATCGTGACGAGCATACAGTGATCTGTATACTCATAACACTTTCAGTATCAAATGCTGCGTACATGGGAAGATGAGAAGATATCCGGTTACTAAGAAGCCGACGATCACTATACCACTAGGAAGCTGTGACAATAAATGCGCAAGCAACAAAAAGTCCAAGTAAGAATACAAGGAGAACATGAAAAAGAAATACGCGACACTGTCTTTCAAACCTCTCATCCCTATTCCTCTTTCTTTTGCGTCCGGGAATAATCGAAAAAGGAGTCCAATTCTAATTGCACCAGATACTACGCAGTAGCATGTGCCGATACGTAAGAGCCACTGGGAGGGGGAGGCTCTACCTGCGGGGATTCGTCCACTATTGACGGCACCAGAAGCTCCTCTCGCAAACCTTCGCTTGTCTCATTATTCATAGTTCCAGTTCTCGTATTCTCTGCATCTTGACGCCCAGCCATCACAATCGACACATTCCAATGCCTGCTATGTAACTTCCTCGGGCCAATCTCACCCAATACTCTATTTCTGAATCCCAAAGACGGGCGAAGTTGATTACAAGGTATCTTCAAAGACGTATCCAGCGATGAGCAAACCATGGTCACGGCGCCAGAACACTTGCACAAACGATCAAAATTCCTCATTCTACAAATGCCAGTTCTTCGAGATGACAAGCGCCTAGCAATAATCTCATTGCGCGTTTCAACAGCATGTAAAGTGCTTGTCCAGGCTTCGGAACGTCGAACGTGCGAGCCCTGCAACATGACGACGAGCCTAAAACCCAGAACCTCGATCGCAATGCCCAACTAATTCTTGCACCTCACAATGCAACATGCAACATCTCTTTTCCCATCCCTGCGGTACCCAGAAGGCGATCCACCCAACACCGGCAGAGCTAAAGAAGCAGAGATTCTAATCCAAAAACCCATAAATGTTCAACTTCACCCCACTTCACATATTATCTTCAAGGCCGAGTTGCAAGACCAGCCCATTGAAAGCTTCCAAACCAATAACTCGAAGATTCATCCACATTTAAACACCAGGAGAAAGAGAGGCGCGAAACCCTAAAGATAAAGATAGAATAGGACCTCAAAAGGAAAGGCTATGCATGAGCCTTTTCACACATCACGAATGATAATCATCAATTTCAGTTTCACGGAGCTTTGTATTGAGATTGCATTGGGCTGCGCTGATCGGGGAGGAGGTTCGGCGCCAACCATCTGATCTTCAGCATATCTGGCTGCTCACAGAGTGTTTCCACTTTAAAAACACTTGGAACTGTTTTCTATTTTCCTCAAAAGATGTTGCCTTCTGAGGGGTACAACTCAAGTGCCATATTCATTTTCTGATCCGTATATAGCTAGATACAGACGTCACCAACTTTTGTGTCAGTCGAGATTTCTCAGAGGGGATGTTTGTTCTGTTGCGATTGGGATCACTGCTCGCCGTCAAACAAACATTACTCTTAGCCATGGAAGAGAATCTGTGCTTATCATGCAGGGGCAATTACTGGGTGCAGATTGTTTCCATGACACAACTCCGAGTACTTAGAATTCTCTTCAACTTAAGACAACTGGGAAGAAAAAGAAAAGAAGTGTGTTCAAATCTGGCAAACAACAGTCCAAATGCACATCCACGACATCATCGTGCTCGGTCTCCCATATTTTCTTAGATCTCTTGTGAGGAGCTCATGACAGTTAATGTTAAAATCATGTGCATCCACTTCACAAACAAAAACTAAATGAAGCAGGTCTGATTTCAACTTTATTGATTTGTGATGATGTTCAGTTACATGTCTTGGAATCATTCACATTCACAAGTGGAGGTTAAATTCTGGCTCGAATTCACGAATCCACAAGAATTTAGGATAATAGCTCAAAGAGGAAGATATTGCGAACGCCGCTTACTGCCACCTAGGTATCGAATAGATTTCTGCGACCGAAGCCGCCTGTCCCTCGCCCCTTGGCGACTGCGGCTTATGAGGTAGTTGTACAAGGGAGCAGCCCCAAACAGTGTCAGCAAAAGAAGTACAATAACAGCACATATAAGCATGATGTTACGGAATCCATGTATGTTCTTTGGATTGGTCTGCGTTGTCCACGGCACTCCACCCACGTTCATTCCAAACGCTGCAGAAGGGCAGAAAAGAGGAATTTTAGTGCGAAGGTACCTTCTGCACCTGATAATCAAATACTGTGAATGTATCTGAAAACCATTACACGTTGAAGCTCAAGATAAGGGTTAGACACTAACCTCCAGTAACGATCGAGAGCGGGAGAAACAACATGGACAAGAAGGACAGATAGTATAACTTGCGGTTAATCTGTTCTGCTTGCCAGCTATCGAGCCCTGCTTGAATGGCCGTGATGCGGCTCACAATGAAGCCCACATTCTCTTTCAGCTTTCTCAATCGCCCTACAAGTGCCTCCAGCGTAGTCAGATCTTCGGAGGAGCACCATGATTTCCCAGCACATTTATCCTTCACTCTGGGAAACACTTGGTCGCCGTGGGCTATCACTTGCAATAACCGCTGCAAGTTCAAGTGCATCTTAGGAAACCGTCGGTCGTCCAGCATCTGCTTCTTTGTCGCACCAACACCTGCAGCAGATAAGTTGAACAGACGCGTCATGACCTTGATCAAAACTAGAAGTAGAGTAAACCTATCATTGTAGTTGCAAGTAGGTGAAATGCTCACCTATATCCAAGTCTCGCTCGACCTCGTCCAATTCAGTCTCCAGCTGCAGCACAATCTCATGCAGTTGGTCCACATGGGTGTCAATGATGTGCACCAGTAAATTACCGACTCCTGTAGGAATAGCATTCTCAGCCTCTTCAAAGGTGTTCCTGCTCAACAAAAACTCCAGAACATGCTCTTGAATGACCACGCCCCGGGACTTCGTAGATCCGAGGTGGCTCATCCGTTCGCTATCTGTGTCATTGCTTTGCTCCTTGGCCTCAATCAATGGAACCTCAGACAACAGCGACCGAGTAGAAGCTGTTGAGAAATCCAGCCTCGACACACGACCGAGCGAGACGCTAATCACACGCCTGTCAGTGACTATGGCAGAGATTCTTTGCGTGAACTTACTTGCGCAAGGGCCGGCAGAGTTCACCCTAAATACCAAAGCGCCATCCACTGTCCCACAGAAGGGGCCACTACTGACAAGAGCGAGGATTTCTTGAAGCTTCAGGGGAGGGCACAGGACGTCTATGAGATACTCGGCGGACATGGACAACTTTTGACTTGACCTTGGAAGCTCCACATGATACCAGCAGAAGCCATCAGAAACCTCCCTCATCAAGTCCCATTCCTTCTTGACGAATTTGCCATAGCCGTCGAACCTGTACGCAAATTTCCTCACTGCTCCCGGAAAGTGAAATCGTACTTGCTCAGCTCCGAAGAAGTCAAACTTCGCAACCTGCTCACTGATACTGTCCATATCGGACTCCGATCCTGAGGACTGTTGACCCAGGACAGGAACAATTCGGGAAAGTGATCTTGAATTGAACGTCATGAGTAATCCTTCGTTCCTATCAACGTGGTTAGGGCTGCACTGGGCAGCGTGCACTCAAAAGAAATGGGATTTTCTTCAACTGAGTGATCAATCCACAGTCGGCACCAAAAGAGCTACATTGCTCACGAAGAGTCGAAAGATTGAAAGACAGGATTTGCGCTAAGCCTTCCTCAGCCTGGAGAATCATCCACTGCCACGTCGACTACAAAGCACATTGTGATGAGGGACTCCTCACGCTTGAAGCTCTCCTGCTACAAAAAATCCAGTTGAAAAAATATTCAGTGAATGTGAATGACTCACTCTTGGAAGTAGATCAAATTATCTGAACACAAATATGTGAGCGTCTTCGATCATACTATCTTGTGTATTTTGACGGAAAGATAACGAATGTCTAGTTCGGCACACAAGCACTTCAAAGGTATCGCAAAATCCAAACAAAGTATTCTTAGTGCACCATCTCCACAGAAAGAACAACTTCATCGCCATCTGCAGAACATTATGGGACTTCCACGGGATCCATGCTCACAAGCAATATTAACTAGCCAACAAGGTGTACCCCGCAAATGACGCCGCGAGATTTTTCCACAGTTTTCTCCGAAAATTTACGAGTGCTACAATCATCTGTAAGAAAAAAATGGGCAGGAGAGAACCACAAGCTAGCAATCCACGCAAGAGCGGGGAAGTGCAAGCACAGGCCATCGATTCTATTATCGCTGGTGTTTACAGACTACCTCTATGATCCCCGACTACCCTTTCGAGGCAGAATCACACTCGGAGAAAAAACGCAAAAAAACTCACTCTACCATCGAAATCCATCAACGCCAGATCACACACCTTCAGGCGTGTAATCCGCACAGAGAGCACACCCTCCGCGCAGACGAATGGAAGGACAGTCGGCAGCAGTCGCAGCGATCCGCCTCTCCAGCGCAAAACGACTCACAGTAGCATTGACAGCAACAGGACAAAAGGGCGGAGCAGGAGGAGGAAGAGTCGAAACCGAGCACGATTACGTTAGACAATGAAGAGTTCTCACTCACAAACGATGTTGCCATGCTAGAAGAAACAACCCACTGCCCTCATCAAACGCACCGAAACCGAACAACAAGCGCCACAGAAACCCAAGCACAAACAAACAACGCCGCCGCTGGAGTACGAATCTCAAGAGCAAGAAGAGCGGACAATTCTGAAGCGGAGAGTGGGGAGGAAGAAGCAGTGCGGAAGGTGGTGGTGACGATCAATTAGGAGGCTAGACCGATGGCGTTGCCCTCGATCCCAACCAATCCAGATAGAACACTGGATCACAGGCTTCATTCGTCACTCACACTAGCTCTGATGAGAGGTAGTTTCCGCGGGCGTCAGTGATCATGAGCCTTCGAGAACAAGCTGTGAGATTTTTTTCACCCCTCTTCTCGCTGACTATGGTATGCAAATCTTAGCTGCCGCAAAAGGGCGTCCGAAATCAACTTCCGGGATGATGGGGAGGTAATACTCATAATGTCGACCGGATTCGCGACGCCGATGAGGTACCTCCCTGCGGGTTTCGTCCCCCACGTCGATTGTGGCCAAGCAACTCATTCAACCGCCACGATTTGGTTGCGAGGCTGCTTCTTTCCAGTTCAATTCCTGTGCTGCACAACCAGCACTGCCAATCTCGCCACACTGGTCCCATCGTGCTCGGTTCCCACGCCGCATTTCATTGCTCGGTGGGGTCGCCAGCGACGCATGCACTTGCAACTCCGCTCATTCGACGATGTCGCCGAACTCCGAACGCGGGTTTCGAAGCCCGTGCCAGGCTTCGCAACGCACCGTTGGCTTGTTTAGGGCTTAGGGGTTCTTGTCATGGTCTATGCCAAAGAATAGCACATGCCATCTTTTATGTATGCATGTGTTTCCTCTTTTTCATTCTTGAATATTATTGTCGGGACGAACAATTTGATGCGACAACGTTTTTTTAGAGTCTCTAATGAAATTTGCATGTGATTGGATATAATGTATGAATTCATTAGATATGATTACATTGTTTTCTCAAATACCGAAAAAAGAATTTTGGCTACAAGCACAAAGTTCAAACAAAAGGATTTCTGGCATTAAATAATTGAATACAGAAGCTAAAAACCCATAACGATGTTTTTATTTCTCAATGCTCACGAGAGGAATAATCAATACAGTGGGTTGATAAAATGTATACATTCGTAAACAACGTAGACAGTAAATGTATTCTTTTGTTCTGGAGCAGAACTTACAAGTTTTTTTAATAAAAAAATACGTGCCCACTGTAAATGTGTTCAAGTCAAGGAGGTTATTGCGTGTGATTAGTCTACATGTCGTATAATGTACAATTTAATTTTCTTCGATTTGCCAGAAATTTCTAGATACTTGACCATACAAATGCAAACAGAATGAAAACTTGTCCGATTCGTTTGTACAGCCCAGGGTCTCCATTAAAGAGGGATCTAAGGAGGAGGAATGGAAAGGGCCTTTGTTTTCAATTTCCTCTACATAATCCAGAAGTCCTAATTCCCAGAAGGATCCTGGAAATTTCGAATAAATTGAGGGGGACAGACATAGTCAATGCGTGCTAATAATTGAAATTTCATACGTGTTTGCATGTCACTGGTGCTATGGGAACGTAAGTTCCCCTCACCCGTTCTCATCCTACGTGGCACAGAGAACGTGCACCCTCCCGAAGTGCTCCAGCGCCAGTTTGCTGCTTCCATTCAGCTCTGGGAGCTTTTCAGAAGCGCGGTGTTGGGTGGACTGGGCTGGGTCGGACCTGGTAGAGCGGGAGAAGGGGCGGTAGAGGGGGGACGGGAATGGGTCCGGTGACAGGATGGCATGTCCCCGTGCAAAGCATGAGCCTCTTCACACCACACTGCATTTTAATAATAATAATAAAAAGGGCACACCCTGTTGCCCGTGTCTAACAGAGAAGATGTGAGACACCCACTTGGAGTTTTAACTTATTTTTGCCGGTTTTATATGTTATGTTTACTATAACCATGATCAGTTGTCTCTTCCCATAATACCCATTTTTACATTACTAGTCTTGTAATATGTTCTTACACATGAGTGGAAAAAAATAAAAGCAAGAAAAAAAAAGTAAATAAGTATTACCAGGTGTATGTACTCCTACATGGAGAAGTTGATGAGAAGTAGGGAAAATATATGTGTGTGTATTTCTATACATATATAGCTGGAAGAGACATGTGTACCTCATGTATTATCCTTACAATGGATCGTGACATTGTACAAGGCTGGAAGGAACTGCCTTAGAGAGTGACGTAAAGTTGTGACATCTTCAAAGGCATTGTATCAAGGTTGTATGCTATGCATTGAGGATAGAAAGACAAACTTTTTTCCTTTGCATATTTAGCAAGGTTACTCAAAATGTGATGCATTGGGGTTCAGAGTGCAGCCAGCACAGATTTTGTACTAGTTTGTTGTTGTTCAGAATCATACGAGACAGATATTTAAAATGGAGTGATTTAAAATTTTGTGCAATCATACATTTGTTTATGATATGTTTAAAACTATTATTGGAAACTTTATTTGATTCATTAAAACAGATATAATCAAGTAAAAAGAAAAAATGACATTACAAAAATGAGAACAAAATTAGAAATAAAAAAATACAGTAGGTACTAATCTAAAATATAAGATGTTACAGATATCTATGCTAGAAGAGTATGCAAAAGTATGAAATATTTTAACTGTAAAGGTCTAAATAATAGAATAATTATATTTTCTTTTTACATAGATCCAAGTTATTGTCAATGGTTTTTTAAAAATATAGTTACTCTTATGCAAATCAAATCAAAAATTGTGAGTAATAACATTTAATAGATCTTTTGTCTTATTTGGATGTATATAAAAAGTTAAAATCTAAATGTTTTTTTTGTAAATTTCAATTGTAAAAGAAGAAGAATACAATAGTTGCCTATACTAAAAGAATACATATAAAAGAAAGTAAGATCAAGAAGAAGTAAGTAAAATATATATATAAACAGATTGACGAAACTTTTTTGTATTTGTGCAAGACTCACATGTGACCACATTAAAGTTTCCAACAATTTTTATACTTTGAGATGTTTTTTCATGAAAGCAACTTAGGAGTTCGTTGCATAGTTTGCAAGTCTTGTAGTTTTTAGCAAGTTTCTACATTACTTTTTTGCTACCTAATATCAATGAAGACAAGATTAAGACCATTTTGGTCCTATGAATATTATAATTGTATTATAAAGATTATTAAGATGCTCTTGTGCTTCCACTCAATAATATCTATTTAATATATTGTTATTTTTATAACTATACTTCTCTTGGATCTTCTATCTTTCTTTTTAGTTATGGACAAGTATGTTATTTTTTTCACAAATTTGTCATATCTGTGTTATTGACATAGAAATTAGAAATACACACACATATAAATATATATATATATATATATATATATATATGATCTCACTTGTTTAATCCAAGTACCAAGAACTTTGTAAAATAAGATTTTAAAACACCATAATGTTTGCACACAAAGTATTAAAATTGTATAATACTTTTAAAGTAGCTTTTAAGATGTTTGATACTTCTATAAAAATATTTAATATATACTTGGTATAACTAAGAACACCTCTAGATCCAATTTCCATGTGAAAAGCTTTTGTGATTTTTTTTTAGATGATATCATCTATCAACTTATTTTGATATGTTTTTATTTAAATTTTTTTACTTAAAATAATATATATTCGAAAATTGTATATATCTTAACTATTTTAATATATATATATATTTATTTATTTATTGCTAACAAAAATTATAACCAATTTATGTATTTTTTTATTTAATGTACTAAAATTACTTGTTTATGCCTAAAATTAATATCATAGATGTATGTATATATAAGATTAACTTTTATACATACAATGTATATTTTTAGAACAAACATCACTTTATTATGAACATTACTTTTGATTTGGAGACTTGCAAACTTGTTGAATATGAAATACTTACTTCTGTTATTTTTAATTTTTAATTTGATTTTTGTTGTTGATTTAATCCCAAGTAAAACTATTATTTTTTGTTATATTTTTGAATATGTGTATATGTATGTATGTGGGTATATATATATATATATATATATATCCACCTATATATGTATAGAGAGAGAGAAAGAGAAAGAGAGAGAGATATATACATGTATATCATGATTTAAGGATTTATTAGTATTACATAAATATAAGAATTACAATTATCAAACATATTAAGACTAATGAATGATGAAACCTTATATACATATATGTATATATATACACAAGGGAATTTTAAATAGACCCACTCTTCATAAAGAATATGGTAATCATGATGAATGTGGTTGGTTTTTATTGGTTGCAGATCCAATAATGGAGAAATGAATCTAGAGGCTATTTTTAATTTTTGATTTTTGATTTTTTTCTTTTCACAATGGTGAACATGGGTGGATCAATGTAGTAAAAGCTCGAGTCTATTTCAACATTTATATCTCTCTACATATACAAATTTTAATACACATTTATTTTTTAAAATTTGGATTTGAAGGATAAGTGTAATTGAGCACATTTACTTGTATCAAATTTTAATAGAAGGCACAAAGAAAAATGAATTCTGTTGACATAAATATTTTAGAGTTGAACTGAGAACTTTAATAAGGGAAGAAAATCGAGTGAAATGTCTGGAAAATCTTAACTTTGTACTATTTAAAATTCCACCACAGTTCTTAAACACAAAATATCTTTAACAAGGCATTATTTTTTCCATGTGCCTCAAAAATAGGGTTGGAAGGATGCTACCAAAGTTTCTGTTGAAGAGGGGCTGATATATTGAGAAACTATATCATTCACAATTGAATAGTTCAGTAATTCGTTCCGCTTCCGTGGATGAAGCGCGTCGGCCAGGTTCCGTTATCTAAACCCTAATTCCTGCCAGGGTTAGTCGGTCACGTTGTAATCTCACTCGCGCTTTGCTTGCAGAAGCATTGCGAAATTCAGGTGCAGGGATTCTGATATTCTGGAAAGATGAAGGTTAAGGTCATAGCTCGCTCCGAGGAGGAATTCACCAAAGAGCGGAGCCAGGATTTGCAGGTTTGTTTCAAGAAAGTTGAAATATTTCAGCTGGTTTTACACTTCTTGGTTATTGTTAGGGTTTCGTGGTGTTTGGTGGGAATTTGATGCCGATTTGGCTGGTTTTGGGAAGAGCAGAAGGTGTTTCGCAATTTGGATCCAGCTCTTCATCCGCAGGAAAGGGCGCATGAGTACGTTCGAGCTCTCAATGCTGCCAAATTGGACAAGGTAGCTCTCCTTGCTTCGCTTTGGAACTGGGAGTGTGGTCGCTGTACATGGTTTGGTATAGAATTGTTGATTATTGGAGTTATTGGACCAAACACAAGGGTTCTGGGTTTAGGGTTTAAGGAAGAATTGTAGTGGTCTTTGATTGAACAAGTTATTTTCATGGATGATGCGCAGGTTTTTGCAAAGCCCTTCGTTGGAGCTTTAAATGGACACGCAGATGGTGTCTCTTGTATGGTCAAGAATCCTCGTCGGCTGAATTGCCTCGTCTCAGCTTCCTTGGATGGAGGTAACCAGGCGTTTCTTTTGTTCTGATAAGTAAGAGCTTCTTTGCGTAATCTATATGTGATTCCTCGGAGCGCCAGTTTTGTGCTTCTTAAGAGACGATAATTACAGAGCTATGAAATGGGTAAGAAGATGGGTGTTATTCTTTTACCCGAACCATTTTGATCTCCAATTGTTCAGTATGAGAATGAAATAGACTTGTAACCTGGTTTTTCTTCTTGCAGACATTCGGTTGTGGGATGTAGCGTACAGGTACCACTCCTGGCTCTTTTGACCTAGTTATCAGCAATTCTTTATGCATAATTAACGGGTTCTACGTTTTACTTCGTACCTTTTTACAGTAGATTGTCCATCTTAAACGGATGTGAATTGTTGTTTATTATTATTATTTTTCCCCTTCATTTTAACACCTAAAATTTGGTCTGTGCGAACAGACGCACCGTGAGGCAGTTTCCAGGACATAAAGGGGCCGTGCGGGGATTGGCTATATCTTCTGATGGAGATCATTTGGTGTCCTGCGGGGACGATTGCACGTAAGTTTTATTCATTTCTTTAGTTTAAAAATAAAAATTTGAATCAAATTTGACAGCGCCTCTGGTGCGTGTTTACTTTAATCCGGCAATGGGAGGATTGATTTCTTGTGCGTTGCAGAGTGCGGTTGTGGGAAGTGCCATCCGCGTTTACTGGGGAATCTACTGGTGACGAGATCGATATCATAGAGGTGCAATTATTTGGCTTGGCAATCTTTTATACACATCTTCAAACGCTAGGGTTATGGATGTCGTGTTCCTTCTTATGGATACGTTGATCTAACGAAGTTGCAAGTTTATATGATGGTTTCCATTGATGCTGTGTTTTTGCTATTTAGGGTCAAGTGCTTTTGTTGGTGCAGTTTAATTATTTCTTTCAATTTTTTTGTAGCCGGTCACAGAAGTTTTTCCACCTTGCGGTAATATAGCTAACTCCTCTGTCCTCACAGCCTGTGGCAACATATCAAGGTAAAAATGCCTTTAGGACTGTGGATCATCGATGGGACAGCCAAGTATTTGCGACAGGTGGTGCTCAGGTTGACGTTTGGGATCACAACAGGTGTTATATCCTTTCTCTTTTGAACCCAACTTAACCCTTCAATAGGTGTAACATCATGTGATTACTTCTAAACTATCGTGTGTAAGTCTTAGGTAGATAATGCTCTGTTTAACTGTTATTAATTTTAAGTATAAGCACGGTTGTTAAACGAAGTGCTCTCGTGATCTGGTTTGGTAGGTCTGAGCCGATCAACACTTTCACATGGGGTGCAGACTCTATACTTTCGTTGAAATTCAATCCAGCTGAGCATGATGTGTTCGCTACCACTGCCAGGTTCATCACATTTCCCTCTTTTCTAAAAATACTTATACAAAGGATTCCTCGCTGATCGCACAAGTATTTGTCACTACTGGGTTACAGTTGTGAAGATCTACTTTAGTGACTCAATCCTCCTGTTTCTTGGTAAAATCTATTCAGTTAAAGTTAACCTAGTCTTTATGGGGAGCGTTGTTTTAACTTTCTGAAATTTGTTTCTAACTGTTGGATTGTGGGGGCGCAGCGATCGAAGTATTGCTTTGTATGACCTCCGAATGGGAACTCCACTGAGAAAAGTAATCATGCAGGTAAGTTTCTTACGGTAACAGACTCACGTGTTTAAGTTTTCACATTTTTGAGTTAAGCATTAGAATGAAGGAAGATGTTGAACCGTGACCTAACTACGCATAGACCTGTGTTAAGTGATTGACATTGTCTGTGACTTTTCAGGTCGTGATTTAATGTTATTGATTTTGATTAATTAGAGATTTTAGATTTGGAGATTTAGGTTTAGATTTAGATTTAGGTCTTGAAGATTGTTTTTGTTTTTGTTGGTAATGAGGGTGTTTTGGTGCTTGTTGTGCTGCAGACCAAAACCAATGCTGTCGCATGGAACCCTCGAGAACCAATGAATTTCACTGCTGTAAGTTTGCTGGAGAATATTGCTGCTTTTCTGTTATTGCTTGGTAAGCACCCTATTTTGTTCACGTTGTGACAATAATCTTTATCTTGATGGCAACAATTTATACCACATGTGCTCAGGCCAATGAGGATGGGAACTGCTACAGTTATGATATGCGCAAATTGAAGTATTCCATGTGTATACATAAAGATCACGTATCAGCTGTGTAAGATTTCTCTACCTTCATGACTTTCTAGGAACGTGCTCAAAGTACTTGATGTTGGTCGAAGCTCTGTGTGATGTCGTTCCGACTATAGCGTGTTCTTGATATTACTCTCTCAAGGTCGAAGAAAGTTAAAACTTACGTACTCCGAGTGCGTCTAATATAATTTTGTAACTCATGTTAAATAGTTCTACATGTGCCTTTATCCCGATAAGCAGGATTGCACAACCTCTCTTTTCAATATCAGCATTGGCGAGTTTGTTGTTTGGGTGTCCCCATCTAGCATCTTTGATGTGTGCTACTTATGCATTAGTGTATTTGCATCGTTATGACAGTTTTGATTGATTTGAAAGAAAAACCTTTTTGTATCCTTTCAGGATGGCTGTAGACTATTCGCCAACTGGACGAGAATTCGTGACAGGCTCATACGATAGGACGGTTGGTCTCCCTCATCGCCTTGGGTCCTTGTTCCCTTTCGCTTGTCTCGCCATCAGGCAGTTTTACCTGATATTTGTTGAATGTAGTGATTACTGTGGGAACTGCTGTCACCGTTATGCTAGTGATATGACATTTGAAGTCGCGACATAAATCTTCATCAGAAGTTCTCTTAAAAGTTTTTAGGTGTCTTAGTTACTGCTAGCACTGTCTCATGATGATTTTGGTTCGCTTAGATTCTGTGTTAACAACTAACGTGATTTAGTGTTATGTTCTCGATTGTGCTCCATGCAGATTAGGATTTTTGCATACAACGGAGGCCACAGTAAAGAAGTGTATCATACTAAACGGATGCAAAGGTGAACTGACTTTCTTGTTGAAGCAGTGCGAGTGCAGAGCTTATTTTCGTATTTTAATAGATTGATCCTTGTGGAGCGTATTATGGTCCCACTAGTAAATCCAGAATTCTTCACGCTATAATCGGCTTTGTAATTGGTGCATTGTTTTCGTCGTTTTTATCGCGTGCCTCATATCTATTACTTTTGGCAGGGTTTTCTCTGTGAGCTTCAGTGGCGACGCAACATACGTGCTTTCTGGTAGTGACGATACTAATATTCGGGTGTGGAAGGCGAAGGCTTCCGAGCAACTAGGAGTGGTACGTACCAATCTTAGTTGTGCACCTTGTTGCTGCTTCAAGTGTAGGGTGTTACCGGAATAACAAATTGACGCGTGTTTTCGGCATTGCAGTTAGTACCACGAGAAAAACAAAGGCATGCTTATCTGGACGCTGTCAAACAACGCTACAAGCATCTACCCGAAATCAATCGTATCAACAGGTACTACCTTCGGAATAGTCAAAGTATTTCAATTAACATTTTGAGATGCCCATATTGAAGGTCCTCGAGGACGAAACAATGAATTAAACAGTCTCTCGCTCTCTTCAGTTTTTTCAAAAATTGATCAATTTTTGTGTGCATATTTTCATACGTTTTTTATGGTGGTTTTGCAGGCATCGACACTTGCCGAAACCCATTTACAAGGCTAGCAAAATGCGACATGCCGTTGCGGACTCTGAAAGGAAGAAAGAAAGCCGGAAAAGAGCTCATAGTGCTCCTGGAGCTATTCCACTTACTTCTGCTCGAAAGAAACGGATTGTTACTGAGATTGAGTAATATCTCCGAAATGTGTGCAATCTTCTATTCATGAAGCGAGGTCCTCTTCAACATGCGCGTTGCTTTGCTTCTGCTCTTATTATTATCATGATTTATGGTATCGTGTACCGGCTTCACTTGCAACGTTGTTCCGGCTGTACTGGACGGAAGTGGACAAGAGGTCGAAGCGGAAGTGGACATGCGAGCAGCACCACAGTACTTTTTCATCTGCGTTCCTTTCAATTAGTTAAAATTGGATGAATCATTGTAATATTTACAGGATGCAGGATGTTACAATTAGCGTCCATTCTTGATTTCGACAGATTCTGTACGTGAATGTCTTCGGAATGGTCTATTAGCGTTGAAATGATAATCGCCTAGTTTTAGTGGAATGATTTGGTAGTCTTCGAAATTTAGCGATATTACATCTGAGGCTCCTGATCTGAGGATTCTGCTGCTTTTATATCGGAAGCATGGATTAGCATCGTCCTTTTCGGTGTTGGGCAAAAAATCATGATTGGTATCGAATTTGATCTAACCAGGACATCACTTCTCCAGAAAAGAAGCGAAGTTAATTTCAAGTTCTTGTGTCAGCTTTTTCTAGATTGTCCAGCATTAGACCACTCATACATGTGCAAGGCAAAGTTATCATTGTCAATTCTGGGGAGGTATAACCGTAAACTATCTGCTATTCGAAAGCAGAGCTCGTGAACTGCACGGTAACCACACAGCTCCTGTGGTGGACTGTGACAAAGGCGATCCATGCAGACCGCATTAGTGCTTACTCCGCTGCTTCTTCGTCTCATGAGGATGGAGCCCCCACACTATTCAAAGCTTTGACCTCGATGTTAGGGAAACTCTGAACGAAAGGATTTCATTGATCAGTGCCCATGAAAAGGTCAGATGTCACGTCTCACGTCATGGGATGGTCCGGAAACCCCTTGCTAGCTGACCACAAGTATAGACACGCCGCATCAGGAGTTGCACGTCCTGACGAATTTGAGAATGCAGAGTGTCACCCAAAGGTGAGCAGAATGGGCCACAAGGGTTCCGGCCCGCCAGGGCTCAATTGAATGGGGCCTGAATCGACACTTGCACTATCTGTAAGTCTGACAACGCTCTGCCTCCGCTCATCCCTCCTAAGCACCACTGCATAATCAAGTCCTTCAACCTTTACTCGAGGAGATCGGTCACTGACGCCATGGCCATTAATGCTTTGATGCTTGTGGGGCTGTTATCATGAGGCGCCACAACACCCACAACACCCATAAAACTGAATCTGGATGTGAATCCAAGTTTGCGTGAAAGCCCAGATTTATGCTCTCTGTTCTCACCAGATCTGCATCGCCATCGCCGAAACCCTAAAACCCTAAACCTAGAAGCAGGCTGCTAACAGATGAATCTTGGGATGGATGACGCTTTTCGATGAATGCTTGTTGGTTTCCATTGCTGTGGATGAATGTGGAGTGGTCATCTACAAATTCCTTTGCAAATGCTAAGGCTCTTGGCTCATCGAATGTTGTTGCCTTCAATGCCTTGGGTACACCATGCTTAGCACTATTCTTTGGAGGGTCTCAAATAATGGAAAACAATTATTTAACAATTTTGAGTATTTTTGGTGTAATTTGGTGCAAAACCACATGTAAAGATGACAGGAATAAGTAACTTGGCATTGTGGGTTGTGAAGGCCTATAATGTGTGGATGCCAATGCCAATTTAACATTGACTTTTCCTACATCTGAGTGGTGGTTTTTAATTGAATTTTGTGCTATTTTGGTTGAATTTGGATTTTTTCTTTCTTTTTGTTGCAATTTGAATATGTGATGGAACAAATACACGTGCAACCAAGGGTAGGAGAATTCAAACCATATATCATTTCCATGATATTTGATTGACCACATAATCAAATTATTGCATTTGCTTCTTCTCTTTTAATTTACTTTTATTCTTTCATTCAAAAATCAATAAAATTAAGAAAGTGATATAGAAAGTGGAGGAGAATGTGGGACCCATTTCAATCAAACTTGAACCTCTGCTTCCCTAATGCTGAGCATGGAAATCAACAGCATTACTTGAACTCATGAAAGGAATGAATGAAATGAGAGGAAAAAATAAAATAAAATAAAATGTATAAACCACTTTATTTTATCATGGAAAAATTTCTGTGCAAAATGACATCACTTTTGTGATGTGACATGCATCTATAGTATTATAGTATGTGCTTCACACCACAAAAGTATCTGAAGGCAAACATTATACACATGTATACACACACACACACATATATATATATATATATATATATATTAAAATATGGTTTTTACTCCTTTTGATATTATATATATATATATATATATTAAAATCTATTTTGATGTTAATTGGTAAGGACAATCTTTTTCAAAAACTTATTTTTTATCTCAAAGATTTTTCATTCAATTTTGGTTAAAATCTTGCTTTTTTAAAAAAAATTGATATTATAAAACCATAAAGTAACCATTATTATACATTTAATGTTATTCTCCACAAAGAGCAATACCCCATATCACACATGAATGTTTCTAACATTGACTTCCTTAACTTTCAAATATTTATAGAAATTATTTTGGGGAAGAAAAAAGAAGAAGAAGCATTATCAATTTATTATTATTTTGAAGGCTGACCTTTAGCAAGACCCTAACAAAATAGTACAAGAGTACCCTGAAGGGAGCGGAGTTGGGAGCTTCCAAGGGAACACGTTCACATAGTTCTCATGTTCCCTTCGCCCTAAAACGCGGAGAACCAAAAAGGTATAATCCAAAAAGTGATTTATCTGCCCGGAAAGCTGCCCTGCCAACGAGAGACCGAAAAAGCAGCAGAAGCAGGAAAAAGCTCCTTTTTGGTTTTCGTGAACCCTCAGACAACAACGTTCCGACAACACTCATTCCCAAGTAACCCAAAACCGTGACCCGGAACTGACATGCGCCTGTGACCGTGGACAGCACTTAGTGATCCTCACCATGGCTTCGATTCGAACGCGCATGGCAGGGCAGGGAACGCATGGGAACAATCACTCCTCAAATCATTGGCCCCTGGAAAAAAGTGCCGGGAAAAGTTAAAAGGTATAGTTACAGGGGTACTGGGTGATGGGGATCCTGACCAGGGCAATACGAATGACCCGGAGGCAAGGCACCAGGGATTCTAAATCGTACACGGGTATAGGGGCATTTTTCTTACGTACACCCGCCCATGATTGGAAGTGGAGGGAGGATTCTTATTCTGGCTGCCTAAGTTCTTGTTTCCCTCGTCCTACGTGGCGTGGATTAGTAGTATAAAACATCAGCATGCCACGTCGGAAGGACCCAAAACTAATTGCAGCTTCCCACGCTAAATCAGCAGTCGAGCTTTTCCGCGTATTCATGATTCAGGCTACGAAACGGACAAGCAATAATAGAAATTATTACTGGGTTGGGGTCCTTTTCGCGAAGGCGTGATGCAAATGCGATGTGAGGGAGGGAGAAGAAAGACCACAATAGAATGGAAGAAGAATAAGAATAAAATAATATAAAAAAAACGAAGAAAAAACCACAATAAAATTTGGGGTTTAAGTTTGTTTTCTGTGGAGCTTCGAATGTTCTTCGCAGTGGAAGCGCATTGGCACTTGCAAATCTGAAGCTTTGATGTGCGTGTGGTGTGCACTCCATCTCTCCGATCTGCGTTATCTCGGTGTGTCGATAGATATGGCGGAATCACGCCTTCTTCAACCGCAGCGCTTGGTTGTCCTGCGTAGTTTTTTCTTGCATTGGTGGGTTTCTTGCGAGCACTTGGGTTTCGATTTCGGTGTCGATTTTGGTCTCTCTGGTGAGGTGGCGGGCGTCGATGTCGCGGGATTGGGGCCTCATTGCAGTGGGTTGGGGAGAGAGTGGTCTGTATGCGTGGTTTTGAGCTGATTCCGTTTGTGGGTTTCGTGATCGGGGTATAGATGTGGTCGTGGACGAATTTTGTGTGGTGTTTGCGGTGGCTTGATTAAGGTGGTGGCGTGTATTGTTGTTGAGGTTGAGTGAGCTTGAGAGTTGGAGTTTCTTCACCCTTTTGTTTCTTTTCAGTAGAGTCTATGCGAATTTCGAATTGTGTGCGATGGGTGGACTGTAGTGTGGTTGTAACAGATCGCTACTGCTGCAGTTTTGTGGAAATTTGGCTCGCTGCGTCTTCTCGATGCAATAGGTCTGTTATGTGGTGCATGGTTGTTTCTATTAATGTGTTTAGATCTCTCGTCAACGACTACTAGTGTCATTGAACGGGTGGGTGAACTCTGTATGTCCTTGCGTGGTGTTGTTAATTTGAAGCGTTTGAAATTGCCTAACTTGATATCATTCTTTCATTTTTGTGGGCTGCAGATCGTTGAGGCGATTCATGCTGGCATAGGCAAATTATCTAAATGTGATAACGTACTTGTAGCGAGCAGGATGCATTTGGACAGAGATCGGACATTTTGTTAATCAGATTTCTGCTAATTATGGCTTTTAATCTTGAGTTCATTCTCATGCAATTTTTTTACTTTGCGATAGTCAGGGTGACCTCTACAGCAAGGTTTACGCTTTCCTAGCTGTAGATCCCGATTCACCATATTCAACTATTCCAAGACAATATTGATTGTTGAGTTGGTTCATATATATATATATATATATATATATATATAGAGAGAGAGAGAGAGAGAGAGAGAGAGAGAGAGATGCTGAGGGACAAGCTGTCGAAGCCGAAACCCGAACGAATCATGAAAACCACTAAGGATGGTCATTTAGTCAATGGGCTTTATAACGATGAATATCCGGTCACCAAACATAAAGGAGCCAACAGAGTTCCATTCATAATTGGTACGTTTCGATGTAGCTCACTGGTGAATGGTTTTGGGGCGAAAAACTTATCAAGAATGAGAATTGGTCCCAACTTGTTGCTTTCTTGAGCAGGAGTGGCTGGAGGCACTGCATCTGGGAAGACAACTGTATGTAATATGATCATTCAACAGCTTCATGATCATCGTGTAGTTCTTGTAAACCAAGACTCGTTTTATCGGGGCTTAACATCGGAAGAAAAAGCGAAAGTAGGGGATTACAATTTTGATCATCCAGGTTGGTTTACTGTTTTGACGATCACTGTTAAAATCTTTAATATATCTCTCACTAAGGATGTGTATGCTAAAAGAGAGATAATTTTTTTTCTCGAATGTTTCATTTTTTGGGGATTAGCTTAATTACATAGCTTGTTGGATGTTTCAGCAATCTAGCATGATTATCTTTTCATCTGGTGTCTTTCCTGCAGTTGTACTGCAGTCTTCAATTGTTATTTAGGACTTTCTTTCAGTACTTATTGAGGTTTGTTCACTTTGTTAGATGCGTTTGATACGGAGCAGCTACTTGAATGTTTGGAGACTTTGAAAGCTAACCAGCCAATTAATATACCTGAGTACGATTTCAAGAGGCATCAACGCTGCACTGACAAGTTCCGCAAGGTAATCTTAAATGTGGTCGAAGCTTAATTCTTCGGATTTCTCCTGTTTGCTAATTTTGAGTGACGTTGAGCATATCAATGTGTTTCTAACGAAATAATTTGGTGAACAATTATGTAGGTAAATGCGTCTGATGTCATTATCTTGGAGGGGATACTAATCTTTCACGATGTTCGAGTTCGTGAATTCATGAATATGAAGATCTTTGTTGACACAGGTCAGCATTGTAAATCATCACCTAACGCAATAACTCGTTTCTGTAAGGCCGCTGTGATTTTCTGCAGTAGTTATTAGTTCTTGGCCTACCATGCAACCCGCTGAAACCGGTAGTCATTGAGGCCAGTATCGCATCTCCATAGGGACTCATGTTGAACTGTGCAGTGCAGATGCTGATGTTAGGTTAGCAAGACGGATAAGGCGGGACACCCTGGAAAGGGGCAGGGATGTCAATGGTGTTATTGAGCAGGCAAGTTACCTTTGTATTGTTTCAAACTTGTCAATGGTTTCGAGGTTTAGTCTCTACAATTCTATACTGCTCAGCTGTGCGGCTTGCCATGAACTATCACGTACAAATGATTTATTGTGTTGATTCTAACATAGTGTAAAGTCACCAAGACTAGCCAAGGTGTATTTTTATTTGTTTTTTTTAAATTCTTAGGTCCTTCAACTTTTGTTCTGCTTAGTGTACTTAGTTTGCATCTCGGTGTCATTATGCAGTACGGGAAGTTTGTGAAACCCGCTTTTGATGATTTTGTGTTACCCACAAAGAAGTATGCGGATGTAATCTTGCCTCGTGGAGGAGACAATCACGTGGCTATCGATCTCATTGTGCAACATATACGCACCAAACTTGGTCAACACGATCTTCGCAAGATATACCCTAATGTTTTTGTGATTCAGTCTACCTTCCAGGTGAGTTGAATCTGCTCTCCTCTCCGCGCCTATGATATCATAGTTGGATTTATATCATTGGGTAAGGCCTTTTCTTACGTGAAAAGATAGCTGTTGCTCATATATGAAACAATTGTTTGAGGTTATTCACAGTTCCCCTCTTTTACTCGTTCTGTATGCCTTATCCTTTTAGGTTCGGGGGATGCATACATTGATTCGTGATCAAGATACAAAAAAACATGACTTCGTCTTCTATTCTGATCGTCTAATTCGATTGGTAAGTCCTTAGGTCACTGTGATTTCCTCCATCTTTTCTTCATCCCACTGCTGTCGCTCTAATCACTACACTCTATCTAGTGTGGAGCGCAAGGTTGAGAATGATTAGTCTAGGCGCATAAAGCTGAGATGGTAAACGTTGGTACCTGTAGGTAGTAGAGCATGGATTAGGTCATTTGCCATTTACGGAAAGGCAAGTTATCACGCCAACAGGTGCAACCCACACCGTTTTCCATGATGAACTTTATGACTAGCTCTGCGAAACCAAGTAGCTTAGTGCATTTCCACATGATCTGCAGCAATACTTTGTCGAACGACTGCTGCTGGAAACTCTTGAAATTTGCTGATTTTTCATCTTTTGCGAATTGGCAATTAATACAGGATCAATATATGTTGGAGTGGATTTTTGCAAACAACTTTGTGGTGTATCCATAATAAGGAGGTATTTTTCTCTATTGCAAGTTATCATCAACCACTATGTAAATCCTCTGCGTTGAACTCGTACTGCTAGTAGTTGCGAGAGCTTGGGTTCAATTCACTGTGTATCAAAAAGCTCCTTACATAGTACAAGTACCTAATTTGAATAGCTGAAATTATGTGATTGAGTGTCCCTGGAGCATTTAATGAGAATGTGGTCATCGTCCTCGCTCCTGCTTTAGTACTCTCTGTCTAGGTACAGAAGATCGGAAAGATTTTGATACATCGTGAAGGAGATAATGGGAAACAGGTATTGATTATGATGCGATTCTGTTCAGCTTGATGTTTGCCACTTAACCACAGTAATTTATTGGTAAGACTCCGTTTGTTCTGAATATCAGCAATGTTAAGAAATGTGTCTCTCTTCGAACTAGACTGATTCAACTTCTGTTTTGTAGTTGATCTACGAAAAATTGCCGCGTGACATAGCTGAACGACATGTACTACTAATGGACCCTATTCTGGGAACAGGTTAGACCCTCTTCGCCACCACTAAGTTCAGTCAGTTATTTATTAAAATTTTGTTACTCATTAGACAGACTCGTGAATCACTACCCAAATAGATCCTGACTCGTGTTGTAGTGAAATGTCATCCATTTTCTTCGGTCACATGTTCAACAACCATCACTGTGTTCCGTGTTTCAGGAAATTCTGCAATTCAAGCTATATTATTGCTTCTGCAAAAAGGAGTCCCAGAATCCCACATCATATTTTTGAATCTTATATCGGTAAGTTTCATTTCAATCTTGTTGTTTCAATGTAAAAGCTGAAGCTCAGTATGGGTTCCCTGATGAATGGCATGCAACTGTTTCCTGCAGGCTCCGGAAGGTATTCATGCTGTGTGCAAGAAGTTCCCTCTTTTGAAGATTGTTACTTCAGAGATTGATGCTGGGTTGAACGATGAATTTCGTGTAGTACCTGGTATGGGTGAATTTGGAGACCGCTACTTTGGTACAGATGATGATGGACCAGAGCAGATGTACATGTTTCCAATAGAAACGAAGTCCTCACAAGCACAGAGTCCGGCTCTGGAGATCCTAAGCAACGGCAAGAGGTAAAAAAGAAATAAAAAGTTGAAATACGTCTTCATGAATTTAGAGAATTATTTCTTAGTAAAATACAACAAATAGAAATATCGATTCATTTGGTGCAATTTTTAATTAATTTCATAATTGATTTCAACTATGTTTGATTTAACTCTACTTATATCATTATGATTGTAAATTGTATTTTGCAAGTGGTGATTTGACTCTAAATTTATTTTGATTTGAATCATTTCTTTGGAATGAATTGGATTGGATTAGGAAATTTTGTGCTAACAATGTCTTTGATATGTCTTTTTGATTATTTTAAATTTGGTATAGCAAGCATATTATAGTTGTATATCTATTCATATGTTTTGCACTCTACTTTGTAAACATCTATTAAAAACTTGATTTCAATTGCCCATTAATAGGCCAATTTTTACAATCATAATGATATAAGTAGAGTTAAATCTTAATATAACTTGTTGAAAGAATAAACAACTTTCTATTTACATAAATAAAAAATGATATTAAATAACAAATGTAAACAAATACTTATAAAACAATACTTTACTTTTTATTTTAAATATTTATATAATTTTTTGGAATTTTACTTTTTTTTTAAGATAGCTTATCCATTGTTGACCATCCCACCATTTCCAATCTATACGATATCTTATTTTGGCTAGCCCGGCCACCTATTGTCCACTAGGTTTGACATTTTGTGGTCAACAACAGGTCACTGGCCAAGTGTAAATGGATTGAACTCTGATCAGAATGGGTTTCTAGCCACTATCAATAACTAGTTTCTGCATTAATGGAGTTGGACGTATGAGGCGGCTAGTTATGGATCGGCAGTTGCTTTGTTTATGCTCATGCTGTGGTTGGTATGTGTGCTTTTGATCTTCAAAGTTGCATTGGCCACATCGCAAAAATCTTTACACAACTAGATGTAAATAAAATGAAGGTAAGTCATGTTGCTTCTCCACATTTGGGGTTTGCCACTAGGTCCATTGTTAGGCAAGTGCGGGGAAGTGGGTGAATTTCTATCTCTAGATGATTCTAGAGCTACGAGCTTGGAAGTCGGAGTGCCAAATTGCAAGGTGTGGAAAGGCGGCATCTTGCGACACAATTTGCATTGCATTGGGTGAGTGAGGGGAAGTGGGTGTCTTTTCTTTCTCCCGTGTTTGTACTTTGTTCCTTCAAAGTGTGTAGTGCTTTTGTGATGTGCATGGACTAGACATAATTTGAACATTGATTTCATTTAACAAACTCATGCACATTGTTTGCAAAGCTTCGGAAAGCACTTCAGGAGGAGTGTGTGTTCCATGACCATGCACCGCATATGCTAAAACAAAAACAAGGAAGTGGGTGCAGGGAGGAGGGGAATAATCTCAACAGTTAGGAATTTTCCTTTCAAATTGATTGCTTTACAAAGAATAGACTTGGTCAAGAAGAACATGCTTGTCACTCCCCTGAACTACACAATCTTGTGAACTCTCAATCAATTTCAATGTTATACTAGTTGTTTTCTATTCTTCTCTTCCTCTCTTGTGAAAATCTTGGGCAAGCATTGTTGAATTACATTTGAGTGTTGTTTTGTTTCTTGATGCCTTTGGCAGAGAAAGACAAATTTTGAAGGTCGCATAGCTTTTAGTTCTCACATTAGCGCTTGTTATTGAGTTAAGAAGCGATCACAAGCTCAGCAATAGCAAGGTGTTGGAATGCCTATTATTCTTTGCACATATGTTGAGCTCATCTCACTTCCATCTTTCTCCATCTGTTCTGAAAGCAGTAATTAAAAACCCGGAGATCAATGGAGCCAATGGTGCAGTCAGGAGCCTTAATCTTATCCCAAATTGCTTGCCGATTACTTCTTCGTCAATTAAACTGGGTTTTGTGTCCAAAGAATAGACGAGTGTCCATTGCTACTAATTTGATTACATGATTCGAATATCTTTCAAAACAATTTTTGAAGGTCAACTCTAGAATCTTGTATCAATTCTGCAACGCAATGCCATCTCAGACAGTATTGCGATGTTCTGTTGAAGGTGTGTACTCGGTCATGTTCTTTTACTGAATGTATAATATTGTTTTTTACTGTGCAATTCGACACAAGAATCGGCAAAGAGTAATTGTTACTAAATTGCGCACTATTGAATAACACTCCCACTTTGTCTATATTTACCTCAAGAGAGCACTGACTTGTTGTAATGTTCTTGTTGCTTGGACGTAATGGGACGATCTTCAAAGAAGGATTAGAGGGTGAAAGCAAGATATTAAGTCCCATTTTCTAGCTAATTTGTGGTCTGAATGATCACTGCAAAGAACAGTCCACACATTACAGAAGCTGCTCCTGGCATCAATGCAAATTGAGCATATTCTCGAAGAAAGTTTGAGTCATGTGTGAAGTTTAGCCTGAGGATTTATTGTCTCTAGTTTATCAGTTGGTACATCTTGCCTATCGTGGCCCCAAACTTCCTATCAATAATGGCATGAGAGAGGAGAATAGCAGAAAACTAAAAAGGTAGAATACCACGGAGGGAGGGAGGGAGGGAGGGAGGGTGATTGCGACGCAATGTGAGTGGGGTGATTAACTGCGAGCTATGTCACATAGCAAATGCTTTAAATTCAAATGGAAACAAATACTAATAATCTATAACAAAAATAATGATGGTTCGTAAACAGGAATGCTGGAAACATTGCCACGGTATTTTAGCGATGTACTATGCTAACAACCTGTAATTTTGGAAGAAATTATTAATTCACGAACATGGTGCAGGATTATGGGGGCACGTATTACATTTTATTTGAATGATAGATCGATACTCGGTGTCATGTGTGGACAACTCACTGGTTGGTACCTGGACACCTTAAAAAGACAGTTTACACATTCAGTCCAGAGCATCAATGTTTGAATAAATCTACACTTTGTTCATGGTAAAAATTCCTCGACAATTTGAGTGTGAATATATACAAGTTCCCGCCATTGAAAACATGTAAAGTTAGAAATTTTGCCGAATGTGAATCATTTTGAACTATTCCACTCGATTATATTCATTGTCTATGAAGTTTTGATTCATGTACAAAATGTCCATGGATTTCATTTCTTTATTTATTGTTTTTCTTTTAAAAATCGATTTGAACACTGTAAATGTGTGTGTGTGGTGTTCTTTTGCATAATGTGAATCAAGTTAGATCGGTGCTCACTGGCATGTTAAGTTCAAAGTGGGATTGAAATAAAAATTAATTTTTTTTTGAGCATATTCTCTAGATGACCAAAATTTAATATTGATTTGAATGAATTTTTTATGGACAACTATTAAAAACATTACTTCAGTTTTAATTATTATTATTTTTTTCATATTTATTGTTAATGTTAAATTTTAGTATAATTTTTATAGTAATTTTAATATTTAATTTGAATTTTAATTTTTTGAATACATTTAACGATATTATTTCAATTTCATTGTTAATTTAAATTTAAATTTAAATATAAATTTGAATGAATTGTTTTGGACTATTGTTAAAAATGTTATTTTAATTCTTTAATTTTTTAAATTTTTTTATATTATTTATTTATTTCATAATTATTTTATATTTTTAGATGATCATAATCTAGAATATATAGTTTTTATAAGTTGAAATCAATAATATGGCAAGCACAATTATCAAATTGCCAAGTCAAAGTGAGCCTTTAGAAATCGACTTCGATACTAGGAAACATGATCAATATAATAGTGTAAGTGAACCAAACTTTCCTACCAGCCTCAAGTTAATAATTATGAAGCTCTTGAAATTTTATATTCATAAACTAGAAGAGTTTTAAGAGATGGCCATTGAAACAAATATAGAGCCAACTCAAGTAGAGTTATGGACATAATAAGAGTAGGGATGGAGAGCAAGGTGTTACTCTTTAAGAACCTTGAGATAGAAGACATCATAGGCATTCAAACAACTTTGAGATATATCAACAATCAACATTTGCAACTACTATAATTAAGGCAATGTATGAATTACATTCTCAATCTAAAAAAAAATTCTTTATGGAGTAATTAGCAAATGAGAGTAGCATTAATAAAGTAAGAGAAGCAAAGAAGCATCATAAAAGCAGCAATAAACCATGATATTCTATACACAACTTTTAAGGAGTGGAATTATGAACTATGATCTTTTAAAGAAAAAAGAATCAAAAGAGGTTCTAACTACAGAGGAAGAAAGCAAGCTTGTAAAGTATATTTTAGCCATGTATGATAGGGGCTTAGATTTCTCGCCTACAACTTTGAAAATAATTTTTTTTTGAAATAACTAGGATTTGAAGCATCTTATTTAAAAATAAATTTTTTGGTGATAGATAGTTGAGATGGTTTAAAAACTATCAGCTAGAACTGATGTTGAGAGTAGTATAAGCTGTAGTGTCTTTTAGAAAAAATGTACTATGTAAAGAAAATGTACAAAGTTCCTTTGATAATTTAAGTGGATTATATTCATCACATGAATATCCTTTACAAAGAATGTAAAATTGTGATGAGTTTGATATATAAGTAGAAAGAAATGATGGTACACTTGTCATAGCTAAAAGAAGTATTTATCAAGTATATCTTATCCTTCCAAACCAAAGGTGTTAGTGTTAGTCCGCATTAATGCAGTAAAGTTTGTCATACTATTTTTTTACATTTTCAAAGGTAAATATTTTCAAAAAAATTGCTTAGAGCATTGCAAGCTAGGTGCAATTATAGTAATATAATCCAAAGCTTAGATTATAAGTTATTTATTTTTCACATAGATTTCTTATTTTATTAAAAATGTAAGATGATTTGGTGGCATTTCTCCTATATAAAGGCATCTATTGATTCTTGACAAATGTGCAAACCACATTATTATTAAAGTGACAAAACTAACAGACAATACTAGACTAGATATTTTAATCCTACCATCTCACATATTTCATGCCATACAACTTCTAGATATATATGTATTTGGACCATTCAAGACATATTTTAAAGAATATTAGAATTATTAGGTTTTTAAAAATCTATACAAGCTTGTTTAGTAATAAACTCTTGTACATTGGATATCCTTGAGTTTAAAATGTGCTTTTATAATGAATAATATTATGAAAAGATTTAGCTCTATAAGAATTTTTTTGAGGAGATATAATGTGAATCCTATAATATATATATATATATATATATATATATATATATATATA